CATGTACAATTATGTTCGTAAAAATTGTGTAAAAAAAGAAAATACATAGCATGTTTCATAATTAAAATTTATTCTAAAGCTATTCTAGATATTGTGAGATATAAGCCAATTAGGTTTGGCCAACATGCGGAGTTGGTCGGATGAACATTAGATTACCACTAAAAAGAAAAACTAAACATAAAAAGCTCTCGACCTAGCCAACATGTACCTTAACAGATGGACATGGTGTTGACATTAAAGGAAAAAAAACACAACTAAGCATGGAAAGCTTACGCTCTAGGCAAAGCACAACGTGGCAAGATAAGCATGACATTGTCCTCGGGAAAAAAAGCCGAGCATGAAAAGCTCACGGCTTGGCAAGTACGTAACTTGACCAAATGGGCATGGCATTGCTATTAGAAAGAAACACTAAGCATGCAAAATTTATAGTCCGGCCAATTCATAGGTTGGCTAGATGAATATAATGTTGCCATAAAAAAAAAAAAAAAACTAAATATAAAAATCTCATGGCTTGGCCAAATGGATATGATGCTATCATCGGGACCAAAAAAAAAAAAAAAAAACTAATTATGAAAAGCTCACGACCTAGCCAATGCGCACCATATTGCCATTAAAAAAAAAAAAGCATGAAAAGCTCAAGGTTTAGCTAGTGTGCGGTTTGACTAGATGGGCATGACGTTATCATAAAAAATAAATACCGAGCATGAAAAGCTCACGACCTAGCCAATATGCAACACATTGCCATGAGAAAGTAAATTTGAGCTTTCAAAACTCACGACTCGGCCAATGCATACCTTAGCCAATGGACATAGCATTGTCATCTAAAAGAAAAAATGAACATGAAAAGCTCACGAGTCTAGCTAGCGTACGATTTGATTAGATGGATTGTTATTGTTCTCAATGTTAAAGAGACAATAGTTTTTTCAGCATTATTATTGGAATCAAGTAGGGTATCATCATTATTGTAAACGATTGAGTCGATTGTAAGATTAATATTCTTTTTGGTGATCTTAAGAAAAAAGTCATTGTTCTTTCGCAATCACTAACTCCATTCTCGAGCAAAGTCATCAAAATATGTGAAAGCTTCTTGAGAATTGATCAAATGACCGGTCGACAAACGAGTCAAGTTACAATGAGCTAGTATTCCGACTTATAAAATCAACAATCCACCAACTAAATAGAATAGATACAAGTAATGAGAGGTGTGAAGGGTGGAGCAGACGATGCTAGAAAGACACAAGTCAAGTGATAGATAGATAAATGGTTAAAGTCCAAACGAATGGAGTTTAAATGTTATCCGGTATGTGAACAAGGGAGATTTTAAAGAGAGTTTGGAGATTTTTTTTATTAGAGATCAAAAGTTTGAATCTCCTCATAATGATGTGAGGTTGGTATTTATAGTGAATTAAAGATAATCATTAACTCGTTAGAATGTCTCACATCATCTATGTTTGGATGTTTAGATTTGAAGAAGAAAATTATGTTCTTTCAGAGCTAAATGCTTCAATTTAGAAATTAAAAATGAGAGCTTTTAGAGAGAGTTTGAAGGTTTCTTTTTGCGAGAGATCTAAAGTTCAAATCTCCTCATAATGATATGAAGTTGGTACTCATAGAGAATTAAAAATGGTTTTTAACTCGCTAAGATCGTGTCACATCATCTATATTTGGATGATTTGATTTAAATTGAAGAAAGTTAGATTATTTTTGGGATAAATAACTTCAATTTAATAGTAAAAGCTTAAAAAAGTAACAATTGGACATTTCTTTAGCGGACTCTATTTTGAGTTTACTAAATCAATCTCCCCGATACATCTTAAAAATAAGGTATGGACATTGGCTTTGTTAAAATATATTTGTTCAACCTTGCGCATGCCAAAGTCTTGTGTTGGGCGAGATTTGTCTTTAGCCAAGTCCATTTATTGTGTAGTTTGGATATACGCAAAAAAAAAATAATAATAATAAATAAATAAATAAATTTTAATTAGTGCATAATAAAATTAACTAAATTCTTATTTAATTTTTATGGACAAATTAAGCATATACACATAGAATTTAGGTGGCATGAACTACCCCGTTATAATAAATAAAATTAAAACTATCTTATCATGGAAATAAAGATTTAAAAGTACCCTTAAAAAAATCTCCTATCCATCCAACCTAGTTTCCTAAACACATCGAATGGATCTTACGAGTTTTTACTCAAATGTTAGATAATTGAAATTAAGTTCTATTAAAAAAACCAAAATTTTATGATAAATGATTCTTTCTCAATTCCGTATATCACTTGTTTATTGTTTGTTTATTCAATATAAGATAGGTTTTCTAATATTGTTTCTCATTTGAAGCTTATTTTTTGAGATTTGTCAAGTAATTTAGGTTTCAAAATCCTTATTGGGCTATTAGATCTTCTCTATGTTCCGATACCATATTAAATTTGATAATTGAAAATAGATTTCATGGAAAAAATTCAAAACCTTATAATAGATGTGTCTTTTTCAAGTTTATATATTAAAAAGAAACTGTGAAAATGGAATTTCTTGTCTATTGTAAATAAGTTTCGACAAAACTGATGTCTGATTATAAAAGAATTTAGTCTGGATATGAAAAAACTAACCCAGTTTCCGAAAATCCCGAAGCTTATTGCACTCTTTATTTGTAGGCTGGTTGAGTAGATAGAACCAACATTGTTGTTGAAAGGACACTTGGTGGGAACTTTGTGTCTTCGGTTAGAGACTTAGAGCCCACCAGCTCATCACATTCACCAAACGCATCATTATTTTGGAGCTCTTTGTTGCCAGCCTATAAGAGTTTTATTATTATTTTTCTAAAATCGATAGATTATGATGATTTTAACATGATGATTGGGATTTTTAAAAAAAAAATGAAAGGAAGGCTTCTTGCTATCATGTATTCCAATATGCCGTGAGCATTATTTTTAAAAAAGTAATAATTTAACAAATAACCTCCAAACTAAAATAATTAAAATAATTCAAAATAAAATAAATGGATAAAATATTGGTCTACTTGGGAGAGAGTTTTAAGATAAATCCCTTCTCATTTTGTTCTCTAAATATGGAAAGATATTATCAAAATTAGTAATATTATTTACTATTTATAGAATTATTAGTTTTTTCAATTTTTTGGAAAAACTTTTCTTTAGATTTTTTAAAATTTTCTTTAGTATTAATTATTATAAAATCATTATAAATTTATTTATTAATAATCATTATTGTCATTAAAATTTAAAAAATATACTTTTTTTCCAATTTTTAAAGTTAAAATAATTAAAACATGTTATAAATTCATTAGAAATAAAAAAATCTGATTATTTTAAAATTTTTCTTTAGAATTTATTTTTCAATTTTTAATTATTTAAACTATAAAAAAAAAGAAAAAAACTAATTTTTTTTAAAAAATTATATTTTTACCCTTAAATTGACACATGTCGTCATAAGATTGGTCAATTATGTATCAACTAACGTAAATTAGTTAATCTGACGAAAAAAATTAATGGAGAGGCTATTTTACACCGACGCCTAACAATATAAAGTTTGTTATGAATTATATCCGAGTAGAAGAATTATAACGATATTTTCGATATAATACGGAGACGCTAAGTGTATTTGATCACTTCACAAGCGCATGATATAACTTATTTTCTTAAGAAATAAAGTTTCGATTGTTAAGATCATCTAATTTATTAAGAACTTACTGAGAAAATACTCAATTAATTAAATAAAAACTTTATTCAAAATATCAAAATTAAGACACAATTTTGTTAAGCAGAAAACAATATATATGTTTACCACCTAAAACCTTTTATTAAATTTGGATTTCTATTTAAATAATTTATTTTTAATTCTACTTGTTTGAGTTTCTATTTATATATTTTTTATTTACTTATTAATGCAGTGTCCTTTATTGCAGATGTTGCAAAAAGTGATATCATATTCTTACAAGAGAAAAAAGAAAAAAAGAAAAAAAAAATATATATATATATATATATATATATATGTAACTCGCATTGTTAAATAAATAATTACTTACTGAAAAGTTCGATCATCAAATGCCACGTGTAAGAGGGACAGCATGGGCAGTATGTGAGTAACCAGACAGTAGCACTTTTCTATTCCAAGTTTTTTAACGGATTAGCAATTATGTCTTTTATTATTAAACTAAGCAAAAATGTTAAAACAAAGGGATGGGTTAGCTAGCTGGATCCGTATTAAGGGAGCAAATTTCGGTACTCTATTTTGAAACTTTGCTGTAAACCCACCAAGCTGCTCCTCTGGTGGCGCTGGTGGTTGTTCTGGTGGCTCCCTCCTTCAACGGTGGCGATGGTGGTGGTGCTACTCCACATGGCAAAGTAATTGAAACATGGTCTGTGTTGCTGATCTTGGATTTTGAAAGTGCAAAGTTTTGATTTTTATGTAATTTGAGCTTGGTTTGATTTGGACCCATTTCCAGCCTATCTGTTTAAGGTTGGTTTGTTTTGTCTTTTGGTATAGAAAATGTGGTTTTAAGGAATTCTTGATGTCTTTTGGGATCTGAAAGTTGCCATTTTGCGTTGATTTGTTGTTGGATTCTTTTACTAGACATTGTGATGTGTGTTCTGGTAAAAAGTGAGAGTTTTTGGATGAGGGGTTGATGCAAATCAAGAAAGTTATGATTGTTTTTAGGGTAATTGAGTCCTTTTGTGTTGCCAATTTTTGTTAGAATCCTCCTTGATTTGGAGTTTCAGATGGGTTTGTGTGTATTTGATTATGATTCCTGTTAAGCATTGTGGTTCTTAGACCTGGGATCAAAGATTCCGCTAATAACAGGCAACCATTGGAACTGCAGTCTCAGATTTGCACACCCATTAAACAAGTTGGTTTGTTCATTTGAAGTGAAGGAATTATGTTTTGATATTATTGAGTGTTGTATTAATTTTTCCTTGTTTTTATGTTGTTATAGTTGAATATTGAATGAAAGGATTGATGTGCTTGTTGTAAGTTAAGATGTCCTTCAAAAGCATCATGCGTGAGTTGAAGGAGATGAAAGATGGGATTGGAAGCATATCAGGGCGAGGAGTTGAAGGGAAACATTGGCGTGGCAGGGCAAGGTCACATATTGCACCAGATGAAACACCAGCAGAAACTGATCAGATTGAACAGAGCCAGTGGGCAAATCTGCCGCCAGAATTGCTTTTGGATATCATTAGGAGGGTAGAAGAGAGTGAGACCTCATGGCCTGCTCGTGCAGTTGTTGTTCATTGTGCTTCAGTCTGTAGGTCATGGAGAGAAATTACAAAGGAGATTGTAAAAACTCCTGAGCAATGTGGGCGGCTGACGTTTCCCATATCATTGAAACAGGTAGTGGTATTTTCCTTCTTTCTCCAAGTGCCTTTTGGTTTGCATATCATCCTGGGTGCCTTGTGTTTACTTGTCTCTGTTGCCTGAAAATAGCCGGGTCCTCGTGAGTCACCCATACAGTGCTTTATTAAGAGGGATGCTGCAACTTCTACATATCTGTTGTACTATGGTCTGGTGCCTTGTAAGTAATGTTATTCTCTTTCTCTTAATTTGCTCCATAAAAAGATGACATATTTACCTTTGTGGCTTGGCATGAAAAGCTTGAGAAAATTGTATGTAAATTTTTCTTTGCATCTAGATTAAGTCAGGAATCCCCAACCCCTCTTCATTGATCATAGTACGAACCATGACATTGTAATGGTTGGAAATTTGAGAGCTTAATGTAGCATTGCTTTTATTGGAAGCAGAGTACTGAACTTTTCAAAGATATAAGTTTAAGCAACTAGCTGTATTGAAGTATATGCTGCGCCTTCCAAATCTTTCTGGTCTATAGAAATCTCAGCTTAGAGAGCTCCATTAAGTTCTTATCGACTCAAAATGTTGTTAGTTACTACATTTTTTAAAAATTAACATTACTATTAATTGACAGCTGAGGCCGAGAATGATAAGTTGCTCTTAGCGGCCAGAAAGATTAGAAGGGCAACATGCACAGACTTCATAGTATCTTTGGTTTCGGATGATTTTTCTCGGGCCAGCAACACATATGTTGGTAAATTGAGGCAAGTCTTGGAATGTGAGCAGATGTTAATTAATTTTGCCTAAATTGTTTTTTGTGCTCATTCGTAACAACTCACCGGACAATTTATGCCAGGTCCAACTTTTTGGGAACCAAGTTCACTATGTATGATAGTGAACCTACATTTGAAGTGCCAACACAACTGGCTAGCCGAACGAGTCGCAGATTCCATTCCAGGCAGGTCTCTCCAAGATTACCTGCGTGTAACTACTGTATAGCCACTATCACCTATGAGCTCAATGTTCTCCGCACAAGAGGTCCAAGGAGAATGCATTGCATGATGCACTCTATTCCAATGTCTTCCATTGAGGAGGGGGTACTGTACCGACACTAACATCATTACTGGAGACATTGGATGGCCAGTTTCCTCACCCGTCAAGTTCCAAAGGGAAGGAATCAGTCTCAGATATAAGTTCCGCAAGCCTCTCTCAATCACCAGTATTAGCCAAAGGTTCAGAAGAGCCCCTTGTTCTTAAAAACAAGGCCCCTAGGTGGCATGAACAGCTACAGTGCTGGTGCCTAAATTTCAGAGGGCGTGTAACTGTTGCTTCTGTTAAGAACTTCCAACTTGTCGCTGCTGTTGAACCATCCCACAATGTGCCTGCTGCAGATCAAGAAAAGGTAATTTTACAATTTGGAAAAATTGGAAAAGACATCTTCACAATGGATTATCGCTACCCACTTTCAGCCTTCCAAGCCTTTGCAGTCTGCCTGAGCAGCTTTGATACCAAACCAGCTTGTGAATGATAACTATGGTGCTTGGAGATGTTGTAAACTAAAATGTTTCTCCTAATTTCGAAGCATATCTTCACCACATACTGAGCTCATTATGGAAGGCCATCATAGCTGATCTTGGTGGTGCAATCAGTGCCTTTTCATGATCATGGAATTCGACTTTTATCTTGTTCCTCCATCCTAACACTATGGAAGTAAAAGAAGTTCAGTGCATTGTATCTATAAAGCTCTGTAGTATTCCCTTGTTGAACAATTGTATAATTGGCGACAGCCTGCGTTTTAATTCTAACTGTTAGAACCACTGGTGTAGCTGTTAAACTTACCACCTAATGTGATACTTTGGTCCTATGCTTGATATCATTCGCTGTTCCAGCAAATTCTTGGTTGCACCGCAGTTTGCTTTAGGAAATTTAGTTGTTTGGTTCGTCATCTACCATATCGAAGGTTCTCCATCTGCCATGATTTTGACAATGTCTTCCAATCTCTGGATTATATTTGCTGGTCAACAAGTTTACCTTTTTATGCATGTCTAAAACTAGTTGTATTGCCTTGTTTACTTGAAAAGTTGGAACTGCTTTTCTCATGGCTTACTTCAGGTCTTTTTACATGTTCTGTTAAGTTTGGTGTTCCTTGTTTCGGTTGCTACGAGGTGGGTCATTGGGCTTCTTGTTTCGCTTTTATCTTTTCGTGGTGGTTGAACAAGAAAACCTTGAAATCGGCTGCTTCTTAAGGAGTTCAGAGATTGCTGCCGATAGACTTGTGCTTGCTTAGAGTAAAAAAAGTTGCCCTAAACATCGATAGAGCAATTACGCCACCAAAAACGCCTCCACGTATACGATAAAGATGCAGTAATTTATTAGGGTAAGATATGATTACTTTGTAGCATAAACTACTCTTGATATCTGAAAAATTCTTCTCAACAGGTCTCGGGTACAACAATCTAGTTTAACATACAAGATACAGCATTAACAAGAAGATTTGGATGTTTATTTGCACGAAAGAAATATGCTCACTTACCTTAGGAGGCATAAAGTGCTTTTGGAAAAGTAATGTGATTCGAACCCAGTTGGTGGGTTTAGCATCTTATTTCAATAATTTAGTGAAAGCCAGATTCCATTAATGTTAATCAATATTGGGAACAAAATGAATTTTAGTTGCCAAATGTCCGGTGCAAACTCGAGCTGTGCTTCCACTTGTTCTACTGTACCTGGAAAATGATTATAATGTAACGTTTCCATGGAAAAGGCTGCCTGGATTTTTAAGGAAAGCAGAGTAACATCTTTATACCCATGAGATCCTCAAAATGTCAGAATCCTCATTAGGCTTAAAGAAAACCATCTAACATATGGTCCCCTATTTCAAGCTGCTTTAGATCAATTACTAGCAAGATAATCTGACACTGGATGCTTTTCATCAGAAGAAAACCATCTAAGACATGATCCCCTATTTCAAGCTGCTTTAGATCAATTACTCGCAAAACAATCTGACACTGGATACTTCTCATCGGAAACCATCTAAGACATGGTCCCCTATTTCAAGCTGCTTTAGATCAATTACTCGCAAAACAATCTGACACTGGATACTTCTCATCTGGAAGAAAACCAATTAGTGACATGAACTTAATACGGTATCTACTTTCTTCAACAATGGTTGAGATATGAACACCATAGTTAACTGAATTTATACCAGGAAAAAAAACCCTCCATCATTCTTAGCTGATCTGGCTACAGGCTTCACAGTTCACACCTCTGCTTGAGAAGGTCTCCCAATTCCATTCTTTTTTTGGCCGGGTAATATTTCTCATCTCACAGAAGAGTATGTAACGAACTCTCTTGAAGTAAATTGAAAAGGCTGATGCGGAAAAGGGTTCCTGAATTGGTCACATACAGGGAAAAAGAGAGAAAAAAAAAAAAGCTTCAATCAGAATACTTGTGATTAGAAACAGATGAACAAAAGATAGAGCACCAGAGTCGAAGTAGAAGACGCACGGCCGAGGTCCATAAACTTTGATCTGGCGCACATGAGTATCCCTTCCATTGAGGTGATTTGATAGCACAGCGATTTGCAGCATAAATGTATTGACAAATGTTTCTCTGCCAAAGATAACAATTCCAAAATTAGGAAATAAAAAAAAAAAAAAAAAAAAGGAAATCAAACTGGTTGTTTCATACAATATCAGACAAGATCAGCACGTCAATTCAGTCTCCTACAGCTGAATATTGCCTCAATGTTTAGTACACATGAGAACCAAATAATCTCATAGCTCAATCACATGAAAATTCTCTTACAACTTTGTATCAACAAATTCCAACATAAGCATCCAAACAAAGTATCAAAATACCAAACATGTTCAGCCTTCTATTTTGTCCAGCCCACTTGAACCAAGCCCCAAGTTCGGAAAAGAATACAGAGCTTAGTCCTATAAGATTGACTACTGTTATTTCCAAATTAGACATAGGATCATTCAATCATGGCTGTCCCACCAAAGGTTCTGAATTCTGAGGAAGGGATCGTAAAATTTTTGCCAGCAAGTTGAATAAATATAGTTGGACTTAAAACTTAGATTCTTAGCTTACTTTAGAAAACATAATTTGTGGCAGATCATGGCCAGCTACTTGAACAAAGATAACTGTGATTTAAGTGACACATTTTCATGTTGCATAAGGTTCTCAGCATAGGATGATAGGAGACAATTCCAACGACTCAAGACTATCTATTAAGTTTTATCCTCTGTTGAATTGAACCACTTACCTCAGTTGGACAAACCTGGAAACATTTCCAACTCAGCTTTACATCAACATTCCTCAAAACACTCTATGACTTGACATCAGTGAGAAAAACCAGTATCTAAAAGTTGGAAGAAAATGGTAGTAAAAATAAATATTCTATCCTCTGCCTTCATCTCCCATAAGGAAAAGAAGAAACTCAACATTTGATTCTCAACTTCTAGCCCTCATAAATAATGATCATGACCAACACAACTGATACAACAGGTTATAATGAACAAAATCAGCAAAGAGAAACAAATGAAATGATGACGGATTCAAATAACCCCTATTACGCACTATTAACCAAAGAGAATGAACAAAATCAGCACATAGACATAAATATAATGGCAGTACTTACCTAGGATCATTTCCAGATAACGATAGATAAACCCACCCAGTTGGCTTCACAAGTTCCACAGTCTTAATCTCCTAAAACAAAATTTATACCAAGCCAAATGAACCACCACGGAAAAGAATTTTAATCTCAAAAACACAACAAAATAAACAGAATTCAACAAAATACCTTCAAATTATGAAACCCATCACCGGCACGAATTGAAATCTTACTAGGTGTATAACTCTCATCAAGCTTAAAATCCACATAAAGAACAACTAACTTCAAAAAGACAAAATTCCCACAAATTAATCCTTACAAACAAAAAACCAATTTTAAAAAAAAAAACTAAAAATTAAACAGAAGTTACATACTTGCAGCTTCACTTTCTTCTGAAATTGAATATTAACCAAATGGGGCTGTGCTCCATCTGACCTAAAACAACAAACAGATGAAAGTGATTCAAACTTTATATTCCAATCAACGAAAAAAAAAATCAAGCTTTCATTTCTTTTTTCAATAAAGACTCAAACTTTAATAGATAACCAGACAGAGGGAGAAAAGGGTATGTTTGTTAACTGCCAATAAGTGTCAAGATTGTCATCTCTAAGAGAAGAGACTCCATTTCCAGGTTTGCAAGAACTAACGCTCCAAGCAGCTTTTTTTCCCATTTCTCTAAGATCATCTTCTATAACCAAGTGTTTGATTCCTCCTGTGATCTTCCCTTCTTCTTCTCCTTCTGATGATTCTGTCGCCATTTTTTGTTCACAAGTATACTACTGCACTCCGCAAATGTAGCTTAAAAAGTCTCTAACTTGGTTCAATTTTGACCTAAAAAGAAAGAAAGAAAAAGCCCTAATCTAGAGTGAAGTTGTTACATATGAGGCAGCACTGTAGGAAATGGAAACTTTATGTCAAACCAGAATTTGAAAACTAGCTTTTGGTGAAAATTGAAGACGAGTTTTAAATTTGTTAGACGGTATGTCGGTATTTCATAGACGACATTTATTGCCAAGTAACTGACGGTGCTAGACGACATGCCGTTGATACCGTTTGATGCTTTGTCGTTTACTGGCATGTGCTTGTATCAACTTGCTAATCAAAGACACAGAATTCGGCAAATAAAAAAAAATGTTGGTTTTCTGTAAATTCCGATGTGAACGGAAGAGGGGAATAAACTTTGTAAATATTCATGATTAACTTATCAAAAGAAAAAGAAGATTTATATGTGTATGATTCTCCGATTTGGGCATTATGGTTCAAAGATTTCATATCATCATTGATTTTGAAGACTTCAATGTTTATACAACACTTAAGATTGATATTTATAATAAATTAAATATGGTTATTGATCTTAAAAATCATACTATGTAATCGATGTTTGACGGTTAAATTTGAATTAAAAAAAATAGAATTTTTAACAAAGATTAAAAGATGTAATAATTGGATCTTTTTTTTTTTTAATGAAACCCTACTCCAAACCAAGCAAATCTAATATATTTTAAAGAAAAAACATGATATTATATATATATATATATATATATATATATATATATATATATATATATATATATATATCGAATATTCATATTTATCCCGACATAATCAAAAACTTTGTATTAAACGAAATTCATTCTTAATTTAATCAATTTGTTATATAGTTTGGATTCATGCCAATAATAATAATAACAACAACAACAACATAGATTAATATATAATAAAATTAACTAAACTCTTAATTAATTTTTATTAACAAATTGAGCATATACAAAATATTACAGATAAATATGTTTGTGCAACCTTGTATAACGAGGAAAAAAAATTAGAAAAAAATGACTTATATAAGCAGCTTGCAAAATAGATGAACTCTTATTCAAGAGTGATTGTAGTAGGCTTACCACGAAATTTTTCAAATTCATAAAAAAACAAATGAGATAGGCTTGAAGTGAGCCTTCCACCACATAATAACTACTATGCTTGCCATGAGCCTCCTTGTTAAAATATATATATATATATATAATCTGATGAAAATTTTTCTTGGACTAATCATGTCTTGACACTGATCTCAAGGGATAGAGAAATTTGACTACAAGAGTGAAACTAAAATTATTGGCATCAACCTCAACCCATCAAAAACGTTTTCCAGATTTTGGATGTAAAGATGATTCAGGACCAGTACTATAGTCCGATAATACCAGCTGTATAAACAAAAAATCTAGCGTACGATTGTGATGTTTTGGCACAGATTAAGACATTATTATTACAGCATATACCAAACGGTCATGATGAATCTCAGCGACGTACACCCACGTTCTCAAGCCAGTGGCTTGTGGTCCGGTCTTGAAATCGAATGCCTGTCTTTTGCTTTCTTCTGCTAAGCTGCCTAAGCTAGCTAGCTACGTTATCCCACCCAACGACAAGCTCCTTCCCTTTTCTTTCACCTTTCTTTGCCCCCACTTTGCTTTAATTATCCAACCACAGTCCTTCCCTGTCATTTTCAGTTCGTATCAGCTTTTCTTTTAGTATCAATCATGGGGTCCTCCTTTTCTTTCGACGTACAAAGGCACAAAAAGCATATCTACGGCCATTACAAAGTGCACAGATGCTGACATAAAGGATATCTTTATAGTCTTGCAATGCAAGAAATTTGATTGTTTGATTGGTAAGAATTACTGATGGTTTTTGCAGCATCCATATATACATGTGGAAGGAAATATTTACAGTGCGCGAAATTATCAGAATTGCTCAATTATTGAATGTGGATTCTTGGGATGGTGATTAGTTTCCAAAATTATATCTCTGATCTGACACTGATAGATTCCTCTGAGGATATTCCCTGCAAAAACCATGAAGGAAATTTGAGAAAGTAGTATAACTAGGAAATGATAATTAAGTATAGCATACAAGTAACTAGGGATGTTAGTGCTACCTGTAAATGTTGAAGAAAAAGAACAGAGAAGTCGATCAACTTTAATGGAACCCCAAATTTTGAAGGTTTTGTGAGTCAGCATCCCAAAAAGGTTGAACTTGCTGCAATTCATTTATTATATGTTAGGATCAATGGTATGGCATGATATAATGGCAAGAAAGTAGTAAATGATCCAAACCACCAAGCATAGGAGCTATTACAGCTAGAGAATGATCAAGGCATAGGTCATGGATGAACGCTGAGGAGCTTGTAGCTTTTCGAGGCACAAGTTGAGGAGGATTTGTCAAAGCTTTCAGTTCACTTCGTTTTTCCTGTTGTTGAGCTAGATTCAGTTGAAGGTGGGGCAAATTGGCGATTGTTGATGAGGTAGTGGCTGCTGGAAAACTTGCGACGTAAGCAGGAAACTTCATTCCATAATTATTTAAAAGAACAAGTCAGTTCTGGAAGAAATCAGAACATATTAATTCCCGTTTAAAACATTCCAATAAATGGCTGAAACCTTACCTCTTTCCCAGAAAAGTTGTCTATATCGAATTCTGGCCTTGGATTTAGAGCAGCAAGTTTCATGGATAAGAACTGTAAGTAAATTGAAAGATGATTATTTGAATGTTCAAAAGAAAAAGCTGATAGAACGAAGTAAGTAGGATAGTTACCTCTACTTGTCTTTGAAGAGATTGAACATAATTGATGATTTCGTCAAGCATTCCGGCCCTGCCTGTTGTTTTGTTGCATCCAGGGACTAGATCTTGCAGACATTTCATTTTCTTGCTGATCTTTTCCCTCCTGGCCTAATACATATCAAGGATATATATAACCAAACTCAGTGGAGGATACAATAATAATTGTGATCAAGAACTAAATATTTGTATAAATTCTATGACGAAAAGTTCTCCTGCTTACTCTTTCTGCTATGCTGTGACTGTCAGTAGCCTGGCCGCGACGTGCCCGCACATGAATGTAATCTGTCTGAGGCAAGGCTGAAGTCTTCTGATTTTCCTTTGAAGAATCTGCTGAAATTTCAGGACTGCTTTTCTCTTGAACCTTGGACTCAACTTCTACTTCTTTAATCTTATTGTCACTCTCTTCAGCTGCAACAAACTAAACAAAAAAAAAAAAATGCAGAGAAGTTGAACAATTTGTCAATGATCATGACTTAGCTGACCAAATTCAACAATCTGATTAAAGTAAAGATTATTTTTAAGAGATAAAACCACTCAGATTCCACAAAACTTCAAGGACAGGATTAACTTTTGTTGTTGCCAAAGGTAGAAAGGACAGTTCATACACTATTCCTGAGAAAATTTGGTTTCTTATGAAGTCATGATCATATAATATTCCTGAGAAAATTCATTTTCCTATAACATTAGAGAATTTCATTTCTACATTTTCTTTTATTTATTTTTGGTTCCAGTGCTTAATTTCTTTAATAGAACATGTGAAGTTAGGAAATTTTAATATATTTCAAACCGAAAGGAGATTAAACAGAAAAAAATCATGCACCAAATTTAAGAATTGAATTGAATGAAGTTGGAGTGAAGATGAAGAAACATACCTCTGCTTTTCTCTTATTTGAATTGTCTCTACTGCCATGGTAATTCGATTGCTTATTCTCCACCAAGGTCACATCTTCACCTGCCACCTTCACTGCTACCACCTTCTCCTCCATTTTTGCAACCTCCACCACCCCAACTTGGCAACTAGAAGTCCTTGAAAGACAATGATCAATCTCAGGAGATCGCACCGCCTGTCCAAAATCGATCTTATTATTAGCAACAAACTCTGTGCCATTTAATGAGAAACCAACATATTTTGGCAAATCATTGTTCCCCAGATACATTTCAGGCTTCTTCTTCCAGTCAATCGTATCTCCATCCATTGACTCGTGATCGAAGAAACCATGAAACTGATCTGTAGGCGTTGGACATGATTCAAGTGAATTAATGTACTGGTTCACATAGTTGTTCTCCTGCTCCTGCTGCAGCAGCCAACTGAACCTTGCTTGTTGTCTTTCTAACACAGTCACGTCCATGCAAAAGGTGCGTTTTTGAGACAGCACAAGTTTAAGGATGTCCTAATTCCCGAAGGCTAAAAACTTTTGCACAAATATTCTCAACTACTCCCCTGTGTTGAAAGCCTGAAAAATGTATATGCTAGCAAAGCAATGGTGGGTATATTTAGGTCTTTGTGATAGAATTGGCTAATCAGCTTAAAAAACAGAGGAAATGTTAAGTCTCAATCTAAAATAAATGTGAAGATATAGCAGAAGATATATATAGGGAATGGAAAGATAAGAGAAAGAAGAGAGATAGCCAAAGCAAATCACGAAGGAATGTACACCATAAACAAGAGCAGTGGGCTATGGTCCCCAGTGACATAGCCACCATGTGGGATGTTCGTTGAAGAGGAAACGGGGAGGCTTGAACGGGGTTTTTGTTAAGATTTTGGCCTTTCAATTCTTGGTGAGGAATCTTGTTAGGTATTGCGGTTGATAAACAAAGAAAATTCTTAGGCCTTTTTTTTTCCTTCTTTTTTCTCATGTCTTCGCTTCTAGTTAAGGACCACAATCATTAATCAATGGAGCTATACTCCAAATTTCTTGGTGCCGTTGAGCAACCTCAATTACTATTTACTCATTGTATGCTATCATTTGATATAAGCAACCCATTTATGGATAAATTTGGATGAGGAGATAGGTCTCTTTGCCCATGCTCTAGTATATTTACGTCATCTAAATTTACAGTTTTAAATCGCGAAACAAGTTGTAAAAACAATCATGATCTTCGCGACAATAAAATAATAATCATGAAAATCAATTTCATTAAAGTTGTAACAGCTATTAATAAATTTATTCTAAAGCAAGGAATCAAAAGTAAGTAAAACAATAATGTAACAGTTCGTTATTCATCAAATAACGACAATAATAATTGTTACAGTTATATAACGTTGTTATTTAGATGAAATGATATTAACCTTCTATAACACGAATGACGAAAAATAACACATACAATTCCTTTAAATAACGATTATTACTTTATTAAACGGATGTCTAGACTGTTTTTTTTTTACAATTGAAGTATTTTTGGACTGAATTTTGTGTATTGAAACTAAACCCTTCTTCGGTCGGATTTTAGATAGACCATCCACACCCATATCGATTTATTTGTAAGAAATTTTTTATTTAAATACTAGATGTTGACAACTTGGAAAACAAACTCATTTACGATCAGAAAGAGCAGACATCTTAATAGCTGTAATTAAATGAGGATTTGAATCCAAGACAAGTGCTGACCATAAAATAACGAATAATATGGTGACCACAAACATAAACTGATTTGATGATGATTTTGTAATGTTCATCACAAATGTTGTAAACATGAGGCTCTCTTGATAATTGTCAGCTAAGTTTACTGAAATAAATAAATAATGTGGAGACAGCAGACTGGAGAATCAATCAAGCCCTAGAGATGTAGCTCATAATAAAATTTTAAAAGCATATATTTTAATCTGTTTATCATGCAAGTTCTGATCCATTACATAGAAAAACTTCCCTCTGTTATCAGAAACGACAGCAAGCCATTCAAATCATTAGTTATTTAAACATTTTTGTTTAAAGTATATTTACGGTAATGAAGCACTAAGAAAACCAAATAGGAAGAGAAAAAAGATTTGCTTCTTAAGGAGGAACAGTCCATTATACTTAACTAGGGAAAAGAAGATCTCCCTTGAATTTCATTAACAACCCATCACTTGAAAATGCATCTTGATCACCAAAAAAAGAACATTTCCCTTCAACATTATGGAGGATAGGGACGAAGGAGAGACATGAATTACAAAGGATCTTTGTTTTCCATAATAGAGATACGTGCATGGATAAGATTATGAGAAAATGATAGGGTGACCCACCGACAATATGTGCCAAACTAGGCCAGCAGATAACAAATGACAAGAAACCCTTGTTACCCATCCCAGTAACTCAAATCACACTGTCCAGAAATGACAACAGGAATTCAAGAAAATATTACTATAAAGTAGTAAGTACAGTACAAAAAAGGTGACAGATTTCTTCCAAACTATTTCATGCCAAACATATAGGAGGAGGTAACAGTCACAAGGAGACTACCAAACTAGAATATGCAGGCAGATGCAATCAGTTTAGTTATTCAAGCCGTTTGATGATATCATAAGAAAAGACTTGGAGCTAAATCTAACTCACATCCACATAAGAGAGGTTAAAGAAAAAGGTAACCTTAGAGGGCTTGGCCTGGTTGGCAGGAGTTTCCTCCTGGCTCCTGTCATTAGTAATTCAAGAGTTAGGGAAAATATAGTATCTGATGACTAAAGAAAACCAAATCAGCTGCATGTGGTAGAAGATATTTAAACCAAGTTGGCGATAAACAAAGTCATTTAAGTATATATCACAAGACAAGATCACATTACCTTGATGGAGAAAGATATAGCATTGAGATCTAAGGCCCCAATATATAATTCATATTATTGTGATAAATATAACTTGAGGCATCTTTTAAAATGATGGGTATCAAGATAAGTGATGGGGTGTTAGGAGACCAAGGGTTGGCAAAGTGTTGCACCCTAGGAGGAGCCCCACCCAACTTCATATGCTTTTGTCTCCAATGTTTTTGGCCATCAAAGCTGCTCGTTTTCCGAATGTTCAAATCAAATTCATGCCTGAGCTCTAATCCCAGGTTCAAATTTAAGATTTAGCACAGTACTCATGATCATTATCCTTTCCCCTCTAATTGCCAAACTTTAACTATATCAGTTTGACCCCAAAAAAGAACTCCATCAATGGTGTACTACCATCAGTTAAGACTCCACAGCCAACTCATTAATCTTACCTGTCAGAGATTGACACCTGGCAACCAAGCTCTTCTAAATTACTCAATTCAGTAAGCAAATGGAAAATAACATCCGCAAATTCAGATCTCAAATTACTACTGACTTTAGCTTTCTGTCACTTAATAATTCCATTGTAAGCCGATCGCCTTAAAAAAAATATAGCAGCAGACATCCCAATGACCTCCATAAATATTCAGACAATGCAGAGAGCATAGAAATGGTCACAGCAGAAGAACATGGTATGATGGAACAAAGATTCATGAAGTGAAGTTATAACAATGCATTCGTCGAGAAGAAACCAAAAACAAAACATAACGCATACATAACAATTTAGAAATGGCAAAAATGCAAATCAGTTTGCAGCAGGATAGCAACAAGAAGCCCCTGCCCAACGACAAAGCAAATCAGTTGCAGAGCCAATAACAAGAAGCAACTTCTCGGGACATACAAGGCCAGCAGCTGTAATGTACAACATGCACGAAACTATATGCATCTGTTGGAATTTGCAGCTTTAGGTTATTGTATGGGATATAAAAGCATTAAAGCCGGAGCACAAACTAACTGTGCACCACTAACCTTCACATTAAAAGAAATGCATAAGCATGGAGTTAACAGATATTGTGGTGGTCAACAATCGACAGATATTTCAAATGCAATCAAGAAATTAATAAAACTTCTTCCACTTTGAAGTTGCTCTAAATAAAAACACCAGTTTCTGTGCTTTTAAGAGCTATTGGTTTGTGCAAGATAACACAAATGAGTGATCAAAATCAACAAGAATAAAACATGAATGACATGCAGTCTACTGATATTATCGGGGTCCAGTCTTGTTGGACTAAAACTAAGACAAAACTTCAAGAAATTGTACAATAGAAAGAAATGCATACATGCACTATGCAAGAATAGCCATTATCATACATGGATTAATGCAGCTTAACTTTCAGACAATCAAAATCAACTTCCTAACAACATATCAAACAAGATTAAAGAATGAGCATTATCATACATGGATAATTGCAGCCTAAATTTCAGACAATCAAAATCAATTTCCTAACAACATATGAAGCAAAACTATACACTATTAATAAATATACAGGTGGAACATAGCAGCAGATACATCATAAGAAATCAAACCTAACAAATTCTACATGTTGGGAATTAGTATTAGAGAGAAACAAAACCCTTACCAATTAAACAATATTTAGCTATAGCTATATGATATTGCTGCCCCATTCCAGACAACAAGACTAGCTCCCAAGGTAGGAGAAACAGATAACTGCCAAGCTGATTCTATATTTTGACATGAAAAGAGGTTCTGAGTCACCAAAGGTCAAAAAACCGAGTAGATTGAAGTGTCATCTCTTCTTTTTTGATGCAAAAGAACTGCGTTTGGAGAACATTGATAAATTCTTGAAAAATCCAGATGTCTTGGGCGATGATTTCTTCTCTCTTGTTTGGTGGTTGGCATCTCTATCAGCATCAAGATCAGAAACAAAGCCTTCTTGCTCGTTATCATATTCAATGTCTCTTAACTGCCGCAGCAATTCCAAAGCACTCGCTCTCCCTTTGTCAGTTCCGTTGATAGATATATCAACAAGGGAAGGGATAACACCTTCATCCATGACCAACTGACAATATTGAAGACGCTGAGAGCATAAGGAAAGCAGAATAGCCACTGCATGCTCTTGTTCCTCACGACTGCCACTCTCAAGTAGTTCAGCAATGGCAGCAATGCATCCATTTGTTTCAGTAACAGAAACCCTAGCCTCCTCAACATCACACAAATTTCTTAATAGAACTATAGAATATCTTGAAAGATTGCCATCCTTTATCAAAGGCACCAATTTTGGGATGCACTCCATAGATACAATTTGGGAACAAGTATCTATGTTTGAGGACAAATTATGCAGAATTCTAATGGCTTGTTTGTGGAATTCTGTCCGATGGGAGTCGAGGATTTTTAGGATAGAAACAAGAGCACCACATGCAGTGATTTTAGGTCGGCAACATGGGTGGCCAGACAGCACTTCAAATATGGCAAGAACCTCTTCAATTACTTCAGAATCAAGAAGCAATGACAACAGATTAAAGGCGTCTTCATGTAAGTATGATATTCCACTTCTGCAATAAGCAGCACCAAGAAATGAAATACAAGCCACAGATCCACATATAAGAGATATATGAACAAGATTTGTATAAACTAAAAGAAGAAAAAGGAACTATCATTGGTTTTAGCTTGTCAAATGTCATGGAATGCTTTGGTTGAAGCAACTTACTATTATATGTGCATGACTCAAAGGACCCAAGTTATGTAGTTTTCATTGAAAATATATTTGCAAGTCATTTTTTATTCATCCTAGAGCACATACTTTCTAAATTCAGCAGAAACATAGGATTTAATAGATAGAGATGTGACTGTTCTTTTACATCAGCGATACATCCCTCATCTAAGGCTTGGGACATCATAGAATACTTATACAGTGTAAGGATAGATAACAAACAAATAGACAAGACACTATAAGAAATGAAAGCATCCAATAACTAGTACCATCAAGAGAAACCAAATTACCTGTTTTTGCTGACAAATGAAAGCAAAGATTGAGATCCAAATCTCTGGGCACCTATATCTTGTTGGTCGTGAGCATCCCTCAAGAATCTAAATAGAGGTTCAACAAAATTCTCAGATGATAATGAATGACAAAATTGATCATTACACTGCAAACGACTCTTGACATCTTCAACCGTCTTGCATTGAGATTCCCAGGGAAGCTCAGCAAGTCCAAACAGAATCTTCAAGTCTTGCTGATTCATATCTGCATAAGAATGGCGTCTATAGGAATCATCATTATTCTGTATTGAAATCAAATTTGATCCATTTGCAACCTTAGATCGTGAAGAATCTGAAATGTAACTAGCATCTAAAGACCCAAGTGATATATTACTAAGATCCAGCGGAAGGTGTAGATAATTCATGGAACTGCCTAAACTAGCGATGGAATTAGCAGAAATGTCCAATAACTTCGATGCTTGAATGCGTGGGTCAGGAATGGTGATTCCATACTTCACACACCACTTTGATATTAGGTCTTTCATGGCTGCGTTTGGAGTCAATGAACAATGAGCCAGTTTCACTTTGGTTATTGGGCATGTATCATTACCCTCATCAAACCACTTCTGTATCCACATACTTTCAAATGTTTGTCCAGAAGCAATGACAACAGGATCATACATCACTCTCATAGATATAGGACACTTGAATTCTTCAGGGGGTGTAGCTGTACTAAACATGTCAGTTTGAGTCTCATACTGCTCACATCCTATAAGAGACTCTACTTGATTGTATTGCCTATGAAAGGAACCATCACCAGGCTTCTTTGGCAAAAATAATCCTTCATGCTGAGCTTTGGGAATCTCTGTTTGCTCTTCAATGAGCAAGTGTCCATGCTTCTTCAATAGAAGCATAAGATAATTTAAGATACTCTTTTTTCTCGGGTCATTGCCACCAGCTTTATCTAGCTGCTTCTTAATAGATCTTTTTTCTATCAGTATGGCCTTTTGGGATGTAATATGCAGTCTAGGAGCTGCAAGTTGAATAGCTTTGATTTCAGAATTTATCACCAAATCAGATCCTAAATTGTCCTGCTGGAGCAATTCACGCATGGCTTTGCCAGCCTCTTCCTCAGAGGAATCCAGCATAAACATTGCTGCCCTAAGATCATCAATAACTTGAGATATCTGCAAATGACAACCACTTATCAACACGAAAGAAGAACTAAAAGACAAGAAAAAGGGCAAGATTAAAAAAATAATAGCGAACACAGAACACTGACAGAAACGAACATAGGTGGCCTAAAACAGATTTAGGCCCATAGCAGTTTTGAATATTAAATTCCCAATTTTAAACAAGATACCATTAGAAGCACTGATAACAAAAGAGTTCTGAAAATGCAATATGAAAAGAGCAGGATTCACAAGACAATTTAATAATTAACAACTGGATGAAAGCAGGAGAATTGGAAATAAGTTATTGCATTCTTCTTCATGCACTTGCATCTTCGAATTTGAGCAATCACCAGTCAGATCATGCCAAATCACTGTTTAAGGAAGAAATTGCATCCTTATCTCAGGAGAGCAACTAATACCAAAAAATCAAGGGAGTGGCCAGCTTAGTTATTGACTCTGCATTACTATTGAACACGAGCAAAAACAACAGCAAAAGAAAGGAGATAACAGCGTCAGGGAATAAGATTACATATTGCAGCCAGTATAGCTAAAGAATGCTGAAGTTTTTATAATTTTTTCATGGACTATGTTCATCACCATCTTGTGGAGACAACAGCAAAAAAGAGAAAAAGAAAAGAAAAGCTCTAGAGCCTGTAACGTGACAAACCTCAGCAGCCAATATTACTGGAACCATTGTTTGAATTTGGCCTAAACCCTGTTCCAATAAGTTCCTTGATCTTTGACATTTTGAGACAACCGCATCCCCTGTTATTGCCTGAAAGTAATGCAGACCAGAACAAACTCTAAATGGATTGTTTTTTTCAGGTCTAAATAGATTGTTAATTTAACAGCACAGGACATAGAAAGATTGATAAAACCAACAACAAAACTAAAAACTATTAATTTCATCATTTTCTGCAGAAAGATTAAATGTTCTTCCATAGTGCAAACAATTTTCTAAGAACTCATCGACAGAAACAGTTTCATAACATGGATAATGCAGGTAAAATTTCAAAAAACATACTATGATTCATGCCTTCTATACAAAGATTATGACTCACAAGAATATAACAGAATACTGAGAGAACCAATCACCAGATACAAAGGATCCTAGACCAATCAGTATGTGTGTATGTGCATTATTGTTGATGATATTCTTATTACATCCAGTTTCTTGATCCAAAATCAATAAAGAATACAAACCAAATATAGTTTGCTTGACTCGCAACAGTACTGAAGATGTTGCTTGGCTTTCTCAAGTGCATTGTTTAACAAGCATAGTGCCTGTATTCCAGACGAGCATCGAGGTCGAGCTGCTTCAATTTCTGGAAATATTTTAGAAACTCTATCAACCAACTTCAGCAACTCTGTACATATGGAGTCATGCACCTGTAAACATAAAATACATTTGAGTTATCTTGGAAATAATGGAGTGGAATAATGGAAAATAAAAGTTTAAAAATGTAGAAAGACAACATAAACACAACAAGAAATTTTTTTCTAAAACATTAGGATTTTACCAACCATAGTTGATTATTCTCTCAATAAACACTAAAGCTATTTCCATATACCTCTCAGCTCAATTGAATGAAATTTACCCACTCAAATGACAATGAAAAAGCAATATTGTATTCTCACCACAGAGATGGTGCAAGCAAACTTGTGTGATGGGCTATGGATGCACATGCTTTACTTAGATCCATACTAATTTGTTTGTCAGTACATAATTACATGCTAAATTTATGAGAAGGAATTAGTGAAGTTGTATTTGGGATATTCAATAAGAAATAATGATACCGCCAATACAATTTAACTATGTAATTGAAGCACAGGATTCCAACTAGCAGAAATTAAAGACTTGGCTCATACATACGTTGAAAGAATACGGATATGGAAGTGTCTCCACTTCTTCAGCAGCATCAGTCCCCATGCAAAGGGATTATGCTGGATCTGCACAAAGCACAACCTGAGCTTAAGGATCAATTCTATAATGCAAGAAAGCGTAAGGGTAAATTTTATACGCATAACCTAAAAAGTAAGATATTTACACTATCAAGAAACAGTATGTAATCAATCAGCCAAACTATAAACAACAAATATCAACAGCATAAGTGTAGCAGTTACGAACCAGGATTCAACACTTTTCCAAAACCTAAATGCACAGATTAAAAGCAAGTGTGAAGGGTGACAATGTTCCCACTAGTTACGGAAACACAACATCCAGAGTTCACCAAAGTTGATGATAAAGCTTAGTTATGATTCACACAAACACATTTCAACTTGTACATAAAAACAAGACCACAATAAACGAGATGGGACAAAAACAATTACTGAAAATCTGTTATGGCTCTGGCAGAGCTGCACTAGCTTAATCATCTCAATTTAATAGCAAAGAGTTCAGACTGCTTGCAAAAGATTGGAATCCTCACATCAAGTATGAGTTATGTAAGGTCTAGATTCCAGATGTCTCTTTCCATCCCAAAGCTTCATGTGTCAAATTTAGTGAATCTCATATCTGAATACTCTAATAACTCGAATCAAAACACGTCTACCATCTTCCGGACTCCCCTTTCTTCCAGAATTGTTGTAAGTTACAATCACACACCCAAAATAAAACCATATCACTCTTCACAAACTATGTCTTACGAGTTAGTGTTTTATCTTGATTACGCAGGACTCTATCTCAATAGGTTTCAGATTAGTTACTAGCCTATGAGGCATGCCCTTTTCAACAACAAAGAATCCAACCAAATAGCAGGCTTGCTTGACCATTATAAAAACTTTATCATTAGAATTACAGTCGAATCATGCATTGTTGTCCTCCTAAGCATACAACTTTGAAGAAAATGGAAGATTTTTTATTTAATCCATCATAGTAACACTACAATAACTATAAACAAAGAGGGAGAGTCACCTGGTGATGTGAAGACCACAGCAGATAAGAAGCTCCTTCTTTTGCTGATAAGGAAGCAATCGAACAACCAGGTTTTCCAAATAATAAAGTTGACCAAAACCCAATTCTACTAAACCCCAAAACTCTCCTCCAATCAACTTGTCTTGACAACATACACAATTCTCACAATATCATTAGAAAAACAGAAATTACAAGCAGAATTCAAGTAGCCAAAGTAGTCTTCTTGAAGCCCTGGAGTAGATAATCAAAGTAAAGAGAGAGCGATATTTCAAAAGCAGCATATGATGTTCAAGGTAAACACCACGCAGAGAATCTTTGCGACCAGTACTCTTTTTCATAAAAAACCCACTTCCTTATAACTGCTAGTGATCAAAAAACTCAACCCCACGGTGCTTCCTTAATAAATATAACAAAGACAACAACATAACTCAGAATCGAATCCCCTTGAAGAAGCAAAACAAAAGAAGAGATAGCAATTCTGTTTTAAAGTTTTGAACTTTAGCTTCTAAACAACAAGGTAACACAAAAACAAAGTCGACCCCACAAAGAAAGACTACATAATTACCAGGGAAAATAAAGCATGAGTTTTGAACCTTAAAGGTTCATAAATAGTTACGTTGCCAGGCCGACCAAGTCTTTGAACAAAATAAAGAAATAGAAAGTTCATCTCGTTGTGAAGACTTTATAGAACCAAAGAGCGAGACAGGTCAACTAGCTACAATTGCTGGGCAATTTACTACTACTACCACCACTACAAGAGGACTAGTATGATCAAGTTTTCCTGTTTGGCCATGAATAAAAGCCAAAACAGGTTCCTTCTCAAAAAAATAAAAAACTAAAAAGTTAATAATACATTTGGTCTCTCCAATATCAATGTTTTCTGATTTTGATCCTTTAATTTTATTTATCCTGATAATATCCTCCTATTCTTCATTTTGTAACTATTTGGTCCATCAATGGTAATTTTAACTTTTAAGTAACGTCATCAAGTGCAAGAGGGGATGCAACATGGAATTAATCTTTAACGGACATTATTCATGGAAGGACCAAATGACTACAAAGTAGAGAGTAGGTGATAATATTAGGATGAATGATAGTAAAGTGATCAAAAAATATAATATCAAAATTAGGGGACCGAATGTACTATTAAACCAAAATAGAAACTAGAAAGCAAAGAAAACATGGAGGGGCTTCGTTTGTCTCTTTCTTTTTGTGACAAAAATACATCAACAGTCCGTGACGTTTCTGTGATGGCTGTGATGATCCTCGACCGTCGGATTATATGTTATGATGGCCCCACTTGATAACGTTGGGGATTAAAGGTGGGATTTGTGATGCCTGTGATAGAGATGGCTGTGACAACGCTACGTAAAGGACGCGAGATTTCAGGTTCCACGCGCAGGCTCTTTCGAAAATTGAACGTTCTATACTTCTATGCACTAATCCTATCGTTGGTCAAAACAAACAGAATTGGAAGAACTATTATTTCCAATAATGGTAACAATCTCTTGTTTTTTTTTCATTTGGGTCCTTCCAATTATTTCAAGAATTTTTTTGTCGTTTTATCCTCTCTCTTTTTTTTTTCCTGAAAAGTTAGAAATATTATTAGAATTCATTTGATGTCATTGTTAGTTTTTGTTTTTGTTTTCTGTTTTCTAAAAACTATTTTCACTGAATATATTGAATTTTATCGTTTTTTTGATGTCTTGGCTTCTTACATTTTCGGTCGTTGTTTTTTATTTTTATTTTTTAAGTTATTTTCTTCGATTTAAATAAATAAATAACTATACCAAACAACTCCTTAGCTAATTGAAACGTTTGTTGAGTTAGTTGACATAAAATCACTTGTTGTTTCTTGTGAAACAAATGCATTGACTAGACTTGAATTTAATTGAATTTCAGTCTAGCCGTGTGGTTTCGATTTATTGTAAAATAGAAAAAGGTTTAGTATTTTTTTTATTTTTACCATAAACAAGATTATGTAGTTCACAATCAAATGAGGACTTTTAGTTAGTATTGATGGTTAGAAGAGTAAGGAAGGAAAGTCGTACTATTATGACTTATTATATTGAATACTATTATGCATAATAGTCATCAAAGCAAGAAAGAAAAGTCTATTATTAGTAGTTAGAGAAAAAAGAAAAATCATATTACTATGATAGATTGAATTAATGATTACTATAAAAATAAAATGCTACTTTAATCTTTTCTTATAATGAAATTTCTTTAAATTCAAATATTTTAAATAAAAGATTTGAATCAATAACTTCTTACGAGTCAAATATTATAATTTCATAATACTTTTGGTAAATTTAAATAGTTTCGATATTGAATTGAGTTGTAGATTCATCAAGTAAATTGATTTGGTAATCCAATTATTTAAATTTTTTTAATCTAGTTATTGTTTGATTTGAATTATAATAACCATGATTCCACAAAAGTTTTTTGTTGGATTTTCATCAGATATTTATATGCCTTTCGGCTAAAATGGAAGTAGATTTCTCTCATTATATAATAATCATTGAGGAAATTTGAAGTCAACTGCTATACTAAACCTGTTTTTAGTAAATTTTTTTTTCTAATAATGAAATTAAGGAGAATTATTTCCAAATATTGAGGACCATACAAGCCATAGACAAATCAATTTTTTTTATTTCTAGTGATGACCATTTCTAAAGAAAACGATTGTGTCGATTATGATGTAAAACGGAGAATACCTAGTCAAAAAAAAAAAAAAAATTCTATAGTTCTCATCGTTGGTAGCCTTTGACAAATGAATTGTGCTCTAGAAGAAGAAAAGAAAAGGTTGAAGGCATTAAAGGACTTTGCTGGCCAATTTTCAGTTTGAATAAGAAAAAATGATCCAACACATTAGAGTTTTTGTTACATTTTAGGACAACCTTCTCCTGTCCTGAAATATTTTTAATGAATGAAATATTTTATTATCAAATCAACCAACTAAGATAATTAATCTGGCTAAAACTACACAAAAAATACAACGCAAATAATTACATAACATAACGACTGGCTATTGTTCAAAAAAAATGCATAACAACTAGCTATGACACTAAGTACACAGTTTTTTTTTCTCTTTTTTAAAAGCGAATAGAGGTGCAGTTCCTTGATTTTCCAGGAAATCACTCGTTTTAGTGCAAACATATTTAACTTTAAAGTTTTGATGGGATCCAGTGCATTAATACCAAACTCTTATGTTCAGCATAAAACTACTCATAATTAACATCAAATCTCTACAAAATGTTTACCTTCTTAGGTTTTATGGAAGCATTCAATAGGCAATGGCCATTGCGAGCCTGCAAAATTGGCCTTTATGGAGCCTTTTGATTAATATTGATTCCTTTCACGTCAAGACACATGCATGGACGTAACTACACCAACGAACCATGCTGTAGGCCTTGACAATATATATATTTTTTTTTGGTTGCATTTTCTTGACAACATTGGCATAAGGACTTGTTAAAATACTTCTTGGGTCAACTAAAATTTTTTCTTTAACTTACATACTTATAATAACTTTTTAAAAAAAAATTTGTCTTTAATTTTAATCCATGTTGATGTTTTTCTATTTGCAAAGATTGACATGTTAGAAAGCAAAGCCAGAATCTTGTTAAAAAACGAATTTTATAAGAAAATAAAATAGAAAGATAAAAACGATCATACAATATAAAAATTTACGTGATTTGATAATTATAATATCTATTATATGACTGTACTATGGGATTTTATTAAAATTTATCAATTTATAATTTCTAAATATAAAAAATATTATCTCTATTTATAATATGTATAATTATAATTATAATTTTTTTTAAAAAAAACCTAACATAGCGCGTTATATCAAGGTCTTCCATTCACATTAATTTTTACTATTTAACGAATCTCACAAGAAAAAGTGATATGATTTCAGGTGTAGGGTCTACCTCAAAGGCCTGACAAGCAGCACATGTAAAAGTTAAGATCAAACTGAAATGTCTGTAGCATTTAAAAATATCATGTTT